TACTACGAATAAATAAGACGACAATTCCTGTCCAAACATTCTCCATCTCAGTTGTGCAAACTCTCTATGCAATGTCAATAACGCCAAATGATGTGATCGATCCCTGCTCAATCTGGTTTATTCACCACCATCTCAGCCTGTACCGTTACGTTTGGCCGAGACTGGCCATAGTCTTTTCTCCTTCCGCGAACATCAAGGCGAAAGTGACTAACCAACCAGAAGGAACCAGATTAAAAAATGACTAACATAAGAAAAAAAGAACTTCCTTTCCTCAGATGATGTTTTCCGCTCAGGATAACATGGAAAAAATCCAGTGCTATTTACAATGGCCCGTTCGATTCATATATCCGGACGACCTCATCACGTGATCGACATTTATTTACAAGTTCAGTGAATTTACGGTAAAATTTGGTGTCTATAAAGTATAAATGATCTTGAGATATGATATTAGTTTAGTATACATTATTGCCTCAGCCAACTGCGTTGTCTTCCTGTAAAGAAACCTTATAACCTCCACACTTGCGAGGCATTTCCTTGACAGATTTTACATAGTATTTCTACAGGTACCTGAATGTTTGGCCCCCTTTTCGACAGAATAGCATTATGTTCTACAGTAAGGAAACGAGTTGAGACAATTGGACGCGAACAGGTGAAGGAGGGAGGGAACTTGTTTTACTTTAGGGGGCGGCTCGCAACCGTGGAAAGGGGCGAACTTGCAATGGGGCGAAACCTTCATAAACCACTTCTCAAACTCTTTGATAATTCATGAGGTCAACGACCAACCACAAGATGTATACCACATCAAGTGCTTGTGTTTGGATACCCAATGAAAAAATGTATACTACTCTCCAGTGAGAGTGGTATATACCACTAAATATGCACAATGACAACTTGCACAAAATCAATGAATATTTATTACTCACGAGTAACCTTACTTTTACAATGCTTCATTTTCCTATTTAAGCCTGTTGACAAAAACATTTGAACAAACTTCGACAGCCAGTAGTTCACACTGCATGCAGACATATCTGTAATGGCCGCCGGTCCAAAGTTTCTACTCCTTCAAAGTGAAAAGGCCGCCGGGTTCCAAAGTACAGGACTTCACTAATCGATTCTGTTTCCATTCCTCGAAAACCGTACACGACCACTTGGTTTTATAAGCTGTTGTTTTCGATACTGCGTTATCAACACTTTTCTTCTCATCCTCCTCACTTTTCGGCTGCCGAAATCTCTCGAACGACTTTGTTGCGGTGTACATCCTGACTGAACGACAATTTGTAAACGCTGGCAACTCCAGCAATTTCACATCTCAGAATAAATAAAATCGCACCATAAATACAAATTAATTACGCCGGTAAAAAACATCGTTGATACTGAAATTATCGGGGAAGGAGTGTTAGACAGCAAACAATTCTAATTGGAAGTTTTTGTTTATTAATTCTTTAAGAGTGATCATGAGAAGTTCTTTCCAAAACTCGTGCTTTGTGTTTTCATTAGGGCAAACCTAAGGCTTATGTAGGTCAACTTCTTTGCAAGGCTAACAGGAGTCAAGGGGTATTTATTATCTTCAAGCCTTTAAGAATAGAGAAGAACTGAAGAAGTATGCACAAAAGCACAAAGATATAACTTTTACTGAAATATTTCAATGTCGACCTCAGTGATCGGAAACCTGCGATGGACAACCGCTTCGAAATGATGATAGTAGATGATAAAAAAGTTAGATTTTGCAATGGAATTTCGGTTGCTAGTTTTGTCGAGAGAGAAACCGGAGATTCTGTTCCCTTGACTTAAACCGCTTTATGTTACAGAAATCGTTAAATATGCTTCGAAATACCCCGTACTTCACTTTTTATGACTAAAATTGATTTGTTGTGCCTTGTTTCCTCACTGTTTTGCGCGTGTCACTATCCTATTTTTCGATACAAATAACCTGACTAAGTAAGAGTTTATTTATGTTGAGTGTTTTCCTCACGGTGTGACAATATTATTTTTAATTCAAGTTGAAAGGATTATGACTGGCCGTTATTTGGTAAATAAGCCCGTTCCGCCGGCTGATAAATCAAGGTTTAACGCCTTGGAATCAAATATCTCCCAAAAGTTAGACAGTTGACCGAGAAGCGATGCTTTGAACTTTGAAATTTTGAGGACATTTTGAGGAAATTTTGAGGACAAATTTTGAGGAGGCATTATCCTGTTTCAGATAACATGTGCGGCTTCCAAATAAAAACATATTAAAATTTACAAACTGTCTTTCAAAAACCGCCAGTTTGAACTTTGAGCTGACTATCTCTCCCTGATAATTTTTATCTGTGAGACCGAATCAAGTTCCTACTCTGTCACAAACTCAAACTGCACAAATATCAAATCTAGACGTCGGGTTTGTTTGCGCTTGGGTTCCAGTCGCGAACCGCTGTGTACACTTGAACTAGAGGCTTGGAAGGGTAATATTTCCGCTGCTTGTCTTTACAGTTATGGCGCCTTTGTTTTTCTCGGGCGCCAAAGCAACCGCCAGTTTTCCCGGCAAAATCACTTCGGACGGGATTATCAGCTAATAACTGTTTGCTGATATTTTTCAGCCACGTGCTCGTGGGTATCCTTGATTGGACTAGTCGGTGAGCAATTTATGGACTTTCTTAGCAGCTGTCATCAGTTCTAATTATTTTACGATAGAAATCCTATACAAGCAAAGCAATTGCTCCTTTTTGAGCCCACCGCAATGTGTTAAAAAAATTATGCATCATATATCAGTTTTCCATCATTAGTACCCAGTTTCGATCTTGTACCACTATTGTCGTGGGAACAAAATATGTGCGAGTTGGTAGGATATGAAAAATGATACATTTTAAGCTCGGCTGTGGATGTAACGATGAAAGATGGTATTCGTTTTGTTACGAGTATCGCCAGTAATCCTTACACTGATTCAAACACTCTCAGCTCGTTGGCTCATCCATTTGTTGAAGGATGCGTCGCTACATCTCCTATAACTTGTAACTTTATTGAATGTATTGCTGCCCTTTTAATCAAAGAATCGCTAGTTTTATCTGGTTGGAAAGTCACCCAGGTTTCCAATCGCATTTGCCGTTGAAAAGGTGGATCCACTTTAATCTGCAGGCATTTTTATAGGTACTTTCCTTTGATGGCCGCAAGAAGAATCTCTAATTGCTCAATCTAGGTTGATCTGCTCTAAAAGGGTTTTAGATAATGAGGTCTAATAAAACCGATTGGGCTGTGATAAGATTAAAACATCAAACAGATAAGATACCTAAATGAATTATAAAACACGCTACTCCTAAGTAACGTAAACTTGTAAGATTCCGTCTTAAACTGTTACAAATATTTCAATGTTAGAGGGTCTTTCGGTAAAATTTCCGCACAGCCCCATGCTAAATTGTGCATTCAGTTCTTGAATAGAGAAAACAATGACAAAAACAATACATTTCCATTAGGAAAACAGATTTGTTTTACAATAGTATGGAGCTGTGCGGAAACTTTACCGGGTCTTTCCCTGGCCCATGTAACTAATAGAAATCATTCGATTTTCAGTCGCCCGGTTATAGAGACTCCTTGTTTGAGATCATAAACCTATCACTGAATCGAGTCAAAGATTGTGATCTCTATATTCGTGCATGTTTTTCGACTCTCTTCAATTATTTTCTAAACGTGAATATTTAGATTTATGCCGCTTCTAGAATGGAAGCTATTGTCAAGCAATTATGTCGCTTCGATACCCGTATACACTTTGCCACGAGGCGATGGAAGGAATGGGCTAAGGAACTTTCAACAAATTTATTTGAATGAATCAACGAACAAACTGGGAAATAAGGGAACAAAAACTTTTACCAAACCTACCGAGTGGGCGAAAGTAATGATAGGACAAACATCGAGCAGATGAAAGAACTGAGAGAGTCAATAGACAAACGATTGAAATAATTCACCAATGAATAAATGACTTAAATTAAAAAAAAGGAATAAATAAAAGTAATGTGATTTCCCTCTATATTTGCCACAAAGTCAACACTTCAACTAGCACCCATCCTTCCCTTTCTCATGCATCCTCGCATTTTCCTGCCAAAACAAAAAGCAGGGGTTGGAAGTGAGGTTGGGTGAGTTGGTTGTATTTAGTTTACTCAGTTTTTAAAACAGATGATACAACTGCGAGTTATCAGCTGATTAATTGTGTTGAACGCTGTAAGTCCTTTAAGCCGAAGCGTGACCGGAAAGGATTACCGTATGATCAGCATCAGAGGTCTCTTATGGGTTTTTGTCGTGACGTTAAAAGCGAAATGTTTCAAAAAGTTTCAATTGAAATTTTTTTTCAGTTTATTTATTTATTGATTTATTAAAATATTTTAAGTTTGGTCTTGTCGCTTTATTGTTGCGCCAATTGTAAAATCAAATTCTCGATCGCATCACAACCTACGATCACAATCAACCCATTTTGAATATTTCACGCCTCTCAACAGTATCCTTTTGTTACGTAACTTATTGCTGTTTGTCCACGAACAAAGGGACATTGTTTAACGGTATTAAACGGAGTAAACATAGAAGTTAAACAACAGGATGCCTTGTTTTAACATCAAGGAAACTCTGCGAATTTCGTTTTAATTTCAAGAGTTACGGATGCAGCCGTTGCCGTGGCGATCAGCCACTGACCAGACTACCTAAAGGCGCGGCACGGCACCATTTCTTACGTACTCCTTGACTAAGTGGACTGAGGAAGTCCTGGTATCGAACAGGGGAAACTCTGTAGAAAATAGCACAAATCAATGTACCAATTTCTCAGACGTGGGTTGGAAGACTCTATATGGGCCTGGAAAGGGACCGTCTAAGGCCGGCCCGGCCTATGTGTAGAAGAATACTTCGTTGATGACTAATTTCAAAAGGTCCGCGAAAATATTCTGGGTAACCGGAAACTCTTCGATGTTATCCTGTATTGTGATTGGCTAAAAATAATGATTGTAGTACCCAGTACCTTCCGTGCTATGAGTGGGAGGGCGCCCTCGCAAATGTCATGAAACCATCCCTGACAGCCTTGCGACTGAACGGTGAAACTATGAACTTCTGAGGTACGCATGTTCTCAGTGCCGGAATTTTTGTTGGCGTTCCATAGAATAAGAACTTTTGAATTAGAGGAGCTCTATTTCTGCGGCTAGATAATTTTTTGAATCAACATGTCGGACGAAGAAAGGCCGCCGGCCCCTCCTATGCGTCTTACTTCCACGAAAGATTCTTCCATGTCGCCTGCTTCGAAGCCTTTGCCGAGTGCTCCTGTTGATGAGAAGAAGAAGAAAGCAGCCACATTTCGGTTCTTTAAGGGCGACGAGAAATGTAAGCTGTGTAACTTAACTACTTTAAAGTCGAAAAATGGTTTGACAGTTAAAGGAAAATTTTGTTTTTGGCGTCGATTCTTTAATATGATAACATAACTACTAAATGTCTTAGATTCGAAGAAAAAGCCAGAGATCTCCTACCCGACTCAGTTCGAGCACACGATTCACGTGGGTTTCGATCCAGTGACGTCTGAATTTACGGTAAGTTGCAAATTTGAGATTTATTTTACCGAATTTTACACCGTGTTGTGTTCAAACCGAAATGAGTTTCGTTCGAATTTGTCAGCTGCTTTCCTGATGAATCAATCGTAGTGCTTTGAAGTGATGTCGACTAATTCAGACATCACGAACCGTTTCATGCCGTTGCTTGGATTGAGCTGGTCGTTCGTCAACGGTGCTTTAGTCCTTGTTCTTTCTTAATGTTTGCCTTGTAGCTTTAAAGAGAAATTCGTTTCAGAGTAAGAGTTGCTTGTATTGTCTTGAAAATTTGAAGAACTTCGCCGGTCTTCCTGGTTTCGCTTAGACCAGGTCATTCGACAGTTCTACTGCCTCAAGAACAGAATTACTTTTTGCTGTACGTTGTCCATTTACCGCAGTCTTACTGAGTTCATTGTCTACACCGCTGATACTTTCATGTTGGTGTTTGAAGCCGTTCATAGTAGGAGGCCATAGTTAGCTGGGTAAGAATATTGATCAGTGTAAAACCTCAGGTATTTGAATTCATTGATCAAGCTCTTTAGGAGTTTATGAAACCAGATGTTTGCTCGCTCTTGAAAGTTGCAAACAAACTCGTCTGCCATTAAATCGATAGCAACTGTAGAGAGAAGGTTTAGTATGAAAATGAAATGCATAATACAACAGCTTCTTCGCTGCGGTGTTCTACTCTCTACGGAGTCAAAACGTTTCGTGCTATACCGAATCATAAAGTGACATGTTCTGCAATGTACATTGTGCATTATATGGCGTGATTTTGAAACAGGAACCCATTCAATTGTGATCTTGTGTTCAGCTTCCATAAAGTCGTAAATAAAAGCCTTTTTATCATATCGACGCTGCTATCATGCAAAATTCCAAACCTGCCATCAGAACAGGTGCATAGACTTCCTTTCAAGATTTGTTTGTGTTTAAAAATCTTGTGAAATCTTTAAATTGCTACACTTAAGTAGATCTGTGTTACAAGAATTCAGCCTTTCAGTCTTGCTTTAGACGTATAGAAATCGATGCCCTTAATTTCAAATATCATGATCTAAATCTTGCATTGATAATTTCTGTCTAGGCAGGTGGGAAATTCTCACCCTTATGAAAAAGTTGGAATTGTATATTTCCATTCTTCATAATTAAGTATGTTGTAACTCAAGTGTGGTCTTGTGTTTTACTGAAAGTAAGCCAAAATACTTTGGATATCACTGTTTAAATGTCACTGACTTTGACAAGAATCCTTTTAAATTCTCATGTGAAACTATTGACTCAGGAAAAGGAAAGAATATCGAAGACAGCCTTGACAATGGTTTGATTTTTTGGATAAACTTGTCTCCTAGTTCTTCAAACAATATTTTGAGAGATGTGCCTGCGTAACTAGCTTGCAGTATTTACTGTATTTAACACATTGTGGTTAGGAAATCAAAGGAATTCCTCATCGTTGAACCTTAAATTGTAATTTATCATCACTGTTTGATAAAGAACTTTACTGAACATTGATGTTGTGTCTTACCCAGTGCTACTTATTTTCTGCACAGAAACATCAGTTTATGTGATATATGATGTTCAATAAAATTGCATTTCAAGGGATGATATGTAAAACAAAATACATATATTAATCACCTTTTGTCATGGCAGTTTGCAAGCAGTTGATGGTATGCCTTTGTGTGCTTATAAATGATAATTATGCCTGTTCCGTTTTTAATCTTACGGCGTGACAAGTCTACATCATGAACTAGTCATTTTGTTATGTAACTATAAATATTCTTTTTTACCTGAAGTTTGGCTCTCATCCAATCCTAAAATTGGGTGAGATAGGGTTGTAGGAGGTTTTCATAAATTTATACTCAGAATTTAAGAGACAATTTCTCTGATAAGAGTAGATAAGATTTGGCAGAATGTGAGCTAAATACTGCAGCTTGGTTTCAACCCATACTAGCTATATCACGAGTTACTTTTAAAGTTTTTATTGGAATATTAACATCTTAATACAGTAAATATGAATTTGTAGATGGTTATTCATACAATTTATTTAACAAGATTTTTTTTCCTGCAGGAGTAGAAGAATAGATATGTTAATCATAGTCTCACAAAATCACTCATTCAAATTTATTACGAGGAGATAACCTCAGACACTTTTTTTTGATTCGTTTACATTTAGCTTGATGTTGCATGGAAATAGAATTTTCATGATTGAATAGATATTGACTATGTGGATCTATATTTTGAGGTGATCCAGTATTGTATACTTTGCCTGGTTGTCATATCTTTAAATGTTAGAATGGGTCCATGGGAGAGTTGGTAGTAAAGTGTATCTTCATTTAATAAAACCTCACACTGTCATTACTAGTCACAAGGTATTGACATTAACCAAAAGAATCACCAGGAAAGGAAGCATTCATTACCAGACTCCTCCAGACTGCTAACTCATGTATATACCCATTATGGATTGTGATTGATTGGAAGTGTATTCCTCACCCAAATGTGTGCAAAATAGTCATAGATAGTTATACAAGTTTCTAGGCTCTGACAAAAAGTTTGTTTCTCTGACCTCATTCTGTTATTTTCTGTGACTTGATGTGATCACACTTTGACAATACAGAAAAATTTTGCTAGTAGTCAGTATACATTATATTGTGGTTTGTTTAGTGCAACAGTGTCATCCTGCACTTAGTCATTTTGTTTTTATGGTGGATCCTCAAATTGGTTTGCAAGTCACGCCCTCTGTATGGAATGTGTAATGCTTGATATGAAAAGAGTTGAAATAATTTACAATTCATTATTGTGTAGATTGTAAAGCCAGTTTGGTTTTAAACAAAGTAGAGAGAGCTGTCTGGTTTGAACAACTGTCTTTTAATATGTAAATTATTTGAGATTTTCTTACCATCCATTGATGAGTTAATGTGTCTGTTTATCAGGGAATGCCTGAAGCATGGGCAAGACTACTTCACACTTCAAACATCACTCAAGCTGAGCAGAAGAAGAATCCTCAGGTTTGTAATTTTTAATTTGTAACATGTGCATCATGCAATAAGCAATTAATTGTTTCAAGAGAGTGCTCTTAGTGTATGACAATGGCCACTTGATTAGACAAAGAGCTCTTAGGGGGGGTACTTATCAAGGATTTAATTTTTTTTTTGCCTTTATTTTACATTTCCACTTTCACCACTGCAAATCAAATACATCTTAAATAAGTTCAACCTTTTCTACTAACTGCTTGGAAAAAAAAGTAGTCATTTAGTGTTTGAGTAGTGCAAACACACTATAGCTGTAGTACAGCAAATATCACAACTTCTTATACACAGCTTGTAAGCCTTCATGTAATGTTGTTTTTAGTAGCTATGACCACATGCAACAGGATACTATGTTTTCTATTTTTTTTTCCTGGTGGAGGATGGGGTGATAAGGGGTCAAAAATGGTGAGATATAAGACAGCTACAGGGATAAAAATGATAAATAAGGAGGTTGTTAATGTTGATGTGTGGTGGAAATTATTTTTCACTGATTGTATGAAGGTTTTCACTTTTGTGTAACTGCAAGCCCTTGTATTTAATTGTAAAGTTTAGGATGCAGAGGGAACTGATGGTCAACATGGGCAGAATAGTTTTACCAGAGGCTGACAGTGAACTGCGAGAGCTACATAACATAATGTTGACCTCTTAAATTTTCCAAAATAGTTCTGCAGTTGATGCTCAATGAGTGATGTTATTCGTACATGTAACTCATAATCAAAATGAAATAGCTGAGTTAGTAAATAAGTTGATGGTTAAGTGCAATGGCAACTGCTCTTTTTTAATGCTAACAAATTAGAATGCACATTTGTATTTCAACCTCCAGATAAACATTGTATATGTATCTCAGGATACTCAAACAAAATGTTAGTGTCTATATAATTATCTTTTTATGTTCAACCTCAAATTCTTATTTGTTTGGTGACTTCCAGGCTGTTCTTGATGTCTTGAATTTTTATGATGGGGGAAAGTATCAAGCAGAAACAAATGCTAAATTTATGACAGTGTCAAAGCCTTACGGTAGGTAACATCTAGTTCTGGATGCCTAATTGTAGTTGTGAAGGTGATAATTGTTCCCCTGTATGAGCAGCCTGTTTGCTGTTCTTTTTGATACATTAATAGTTGCAATCTAGTTTAGAGGCAGTGTAACAGCATGCTTGGATCAGGGTGAGTTGAAAGGGATGATTCATCAGTTCTAACAGAGCACCAATTTTTGGTGATGAGGAATCTGTAGTTCAGGTTTGCATTATGATCTGTATGCACACTTAATTGAAAAGGTTTTGTGCAGTTATGGCCAGCAAATTATAACAAATGCAGCACACCCTTTTGAGTTAAAGATAAGTAAGGCTTTTATCTGGCAAGTGCTCATTGGGTAATAGGCTTAGGGGAGGTACTTGCCCAGCAAGGGAACTTCTCTCTCTGGATTACTGGCCAGTGTTTTTTTCAAATTGTACAGAGTTATAGAAAGTCAGAAATTGCAGAGTGAGATGTACTTGTACTATTTAGTTGGTTGACTGAATTTTAAATCTTGAAATAGAAACATTATTAAATCGGTGTTATTATTATTACCATGTCATGACACAACAATGTGAAACTGAAGTCATTGAAAAAGGTTAATGTGGATCATAAAGTTGCATGGGCAAAGTATCATAAAGGCAACCAAGCTTTTACATGGCTAAACATAATTTGGAATGGTCCCCTCCAGTTTGTTACCATTTTTTGTCTGAAATATTGTTCAACTTGACAGAAGCAAAATAAATTAAAATAAATTTGCAGCTTCTTAATTTTCAGATCTTTCTTAAGATTAAACACTGACCAAAAGATAAATACAATTACAAGAAGTGAAAGATCACCTGTAATGTTTGGTTGATATGTGTATTCTATTGTAGCAACTTCTAGTGAGGGATTAGATCTCAGTTCATCAAATGATACTGTGCCGCCCTTACGTCACATGTCAGCCTCAGCATCCAGTAGCCCACGGCACACGTCATCTGCCCTAGAAGACCCTACAGATTTGAAAATAACTTGTTCACCATTTAGTTGTACTTCTTCTAAAAGCAAACGTTCGTCTAAAAGCAGCTTGAAATTAATAATTAGAAGGAATTCAAAGAAACGCAGGAAATCGTTACCATCTCCTGGTTCAACAAGTGATGAGACAAGAAGAAGAGCCAATAAAGAGGAGCGAAAGTTGTCGTCTCCTTCTCCGACACGAGCTCTTCTTACCTCTCAATCAGATACTTCAAGTTCGCTTACGGGCTCATCACCAGGCTCCCTAGCCGATGAACTTGAGAAATTGACCATGAACTCACACTTATCTTCCACTAATAAATATTCACAACGCATCTCCTCTGATTCTCAAGGTATTTCTCTCTAGTTCTAATGTAACTATTGTTACCAATGAAGTAATTCCTTAAAATTTTTTAACCCAAATTTAAAGCTTTCCCTAATCATCATCCACAAGTGAACAAGATTAGTTATGATAACGCTCCTTCCTGTGCCAGTGGCTTCTACTGTGAGGTGAAATAATAAGATCTTACTAATGAGTTTGTGCCAAGTTCAGGGTAACAAGCTGGTTGTAGGGGCAAGAAGGCAGATGCGTGGGCTACTGGATTCTTGCATCATCAGCATCATAACCATTCATCAATTCAGCTCATCGCTTTCTTGTGCATGTGTTATCATCAGCTTTTTGTCAGATTTCATAAGAGAAATCGCAAGTCAAATTGTTTTTGTTGCATGTTTATCACTTTTTAAACCGGGAGAAATGTGTGCATGCCAGGATTTCTTTAGAAATGGTGTTGAAACTGGTAAGAATTCCAAGTCAGCATCTGACTTCTTTTTGAAATAAACAAAATAAATGATAAACATTTAACCTTGAAAGTTGCTCTGTGTGGTAAATGCCTTAAAAAACTAAATATAGAGTTTCCACATGTCTTAATGTACAGGCAATTTTCTCAGGGGTTTAAATTTGCAGACCAAATTGACACCTGAAAAGGTTAATATTTGAACAATTTTTTAATGTTAAGATGGTAATGACGACATCAAATGTTAAAGTTTCCTTTCTTGAAAAGTTTCCTCTGAATTGTTCTACAAACACAAAAGGGGGTTAGTTTTACTTTTAAATTTGTAACATAAAAGATTAAGCTAAAATTTACTTTAAATTCTGATTTCAAGTAGATGGTGAACTTGAAACCAATGTATATCAACTTTTAAGTTCCTAAATTAAAAAAAAAAATGTGCAGATCTTCTTAAGGTGATGAGTATTACAACAGTTATTTTCAAGCTATTTGGTTTTCCAGTCATCCAAGGTAATTGTTTGCAAGGACATAAACATTTTCCTTTTTGTAGCCATCTGTTTTTTAATGTGTCTTCCTCATTGTTCTTAGTGGAATCTGTGCAAGCAGGGGAAATATACAATAGTTAATGATATCAGTTCTTTGCTGGGCTACATTATCAGTTTGATTCCAGAATTAAAGATTACAAAAACCAGATATCTACAAGCACTTTAAAACTATTTTGCACCTTCACTACTTGGTATTTTAGGTTTTGATTTCGCTGTTATGGTGAAGGCATAGTCATAAAAAATTTGGCCTGCTTAGTGCACCATGTAGGCACCCAAGGAGTGAATTAAAGAGGAGTCTTCTGTTGGAAAATAAGAGTCATGAAAGAATTGGAAGTTGTGTGTTGTTTAGTACATCTTTTAAAGAAGAGCATTTTGGATGTGACTGCAGTTAGGCCGGATGAGATGTAGTTCAGTTGGCCACTCAAAAATTTCAAAGCCAGAGTTATACTTAAGAGTTCTGAGACACAAATCCAGTCAAGTGGCTAAGTAAGCTGTTCATATAAAGGATCTGACTCTTGAAAAGTCCAATGGCCTTCATCACATAACCACACAACTTCAAACTATATATAATTTGATCATGATGGATAATTTTGTGCCAGATGGTCTAGGCTGAGTTAACATGATTCTTTCTTGTTTCTCATGCAGGTCAAACAGCGACACGCCCTGAGATTGGTGACCACACTTATGCTCCACCCCTCCCTCCACATGCCACTCCAACACCTGTAAGATACAGACATCGAAGTTTCCTTTTAGAACCTTCACATGTAAATTTTGTAAAAAATGGAAGCTCTTTTGATGGTTTTAGTGCATTTGAATACTACATGTAGTTCTTGAAATTAAGAAAGAAAGTGACTTCAGGTTGATTTTAAAAAAGTGAGCAAACTCACTTTAATTTTTTGAAGTGTTGCCTGGTACAAACTCTTTTTTTGGAAAATTTAAGTTATTGCAGTAAGCCTTGTGTTCATAATGGTTTGGTGCATTTGATGTTTATTATTTTATTTTATCATCAGACATTGGCAGCAGAGAATCATAGTGAGCGACCAAATAATTCTGAACCAGAAGTGCCACCAGCAATTCCATCAAGGCCAGAACACACTAAGTCTAAGGTATGGGTCTTAACACTTTCATCCTTAAGAGTGACTGTTGCATGAGAACAAATGATTCCAGCTGCTCTTTAATGAATAGGAATTTCTAGTGCTTGGCACACAAGGCAGTGCTTTCAAGGTTGTGTTACAAGTCTTTTTTTAACACAATCTGTCTCACTAAACAGGAAATTGTAATGGTACATTGTGCATTTTTTAGAGATGCATTTGTAAACAAATAATCTTATTAAGACCAAAACTGCATGTACTTTATTGTACGGCTATGAAAACAAAGCAATTTTCTAATTTTAATATGTAATTTTTTCATGTTTTAGTACATTCCTAATGAAGTTTCTACAAAGCCAGCAGCTAAAGAAGAGGAAACTCCAAAAGGTTTCAGATTTTATTTTGATTTTGAATAAATGACAAACTCTTGAATTTTATAATTAACAGAAGAGGGTATCATTTTTTAGACTGATTAGTCAGTGCAGTTTGCAAATGTTCCACTGTTTTTCTGCATTTTAAACTCTTAGTTATAGTTTGCCAACAGCTTAATTGGCTTGAAAAACTTCCAAGAAGAAGAAATTTGAATAACTTAATTTTTGTTTTTGTTTTTGTTTTTTTTTTCCTTCCAGGGCCCACAAATGATCAACCAAGAGCTCAAACGAGAGACAGGAAGAAGAAAAAGATGTCTGATGAGGAGATCCATGCTAGACTTCGTAAGTTTCTCAAGATGTTCCAATGAAGTTTGCTTAGGTGTATCATAGGAAGATTTTTAGAGTCAACAAGAGTTACAATGTAAAATATGAATGCAAAATGTGCATTGCGGGCTCTAACTTCTTCGTACTCTGGAAGTGTAAATGTTGCATTATTATTATTTTATTGATAGTATATGTAGTCAAATCTATCTTTAATGAAAAATGAACAACTGGTAACATTTTAATACAGGATGACATGTACAAGTAATTGTAACAGAGACCTTAGTGGGTATGTATATCTCTGTTATCTGACATCATTCATAACAACTTACAGGTACCATAGTTAGTGTTGGTGATCCAAAAAGGAAATATACAAAGTTTGAAAAGATTGGGCAGGGGTAAGTATACTTCTTTCTTTGTAGGTGGCATTTTGAACTGTAAGAAGTGCTTAATTTTAAATTTTCTTGTAGAGATGGATGCATCAATGTTATTTTATTACCTAGTTAATGATTTGCTTTCAGGAAATATTTTTGTACAAGATCTCCTCTGTATTTTTAGGGAATTTGTAGGGTATATAGATTTAACCAATTTTCATCAAATTTTGCTAAAATATTTCAGGAATAATGGCAAACAAAAGGGTGTTGGGAAATTTTGATATTTGAAATATTTGTCCAGTGGCATCCATTTACACAACAGGCCTTACATATTTTTAGCTACTCCAACTTAAGATGCTGTCTAAACAACCAATCAGAACATCAATAGAGCCTGACACACTTTCGTTGATTGATGACTTGTGAATAAGACTGTACAGACAATTCGCTTGTGCTGTGGCATTCGATAGCCAATAAATTCAATAGCAGAACCTTCAGTCGTTCCATGCCTTACCGGCTCCTAACACTTCCTTTAAAGAAGAGTCCCTTCAATTATATTTTTCTTGTAATCTGTTGTTATTGAGCTTTCTTCTGAGTATAGTTTGCTAGGATTTAAGTAAAACTAGTGCACATTTTTTTCCTCAAAGTGCACCCACAAAGGTGGGAAGTAACCTTAAGTTGCTTCAGGGTGGTAGGTGCAGTTTTGATTGTAGACCAAGCAACTTGATTTGACTTTTTCTTGCAGGGCATCAGGTACAGTGTACACAGCAATTGAAGTGGCTACAGGACATGAGGTATAATGAAACACCCAAGATAGTAACTCTAGTACTTAACGTTTAATCTTTATCTGTGACTCTACACAGAAATCAAAAAGTTATGTAGAATCTTTGTTTTAACCTCAATCATAATTTTATTTAGGTGGCTATTAAACAAATGAACTTGTCCCAGCAACCAAAGAAGGTAAATACTATTGTTTTTTTATATAAACACTAATAAAACATCAAGTGAGCTTTCATGCAGAAAACATTATACCTTCTGATGTGAAGGTAGTATGTTGTCTTTGCACAGAAAAGATTACTGTGGTTATGGTTAGAAATAAAAATCACACCTAACTGAATAATTCTAAAGACCATTATTTTTTTATTAAAGCCCTTTACTGCACTACAGTATGATTTTGTATTTCATTCACACTTTACAGGCTTCATACTCCTTCCATTTTTTAGTTGTGACATGTTCTACTAATTAAAATGAAACGATTTAGTATTTCATTAGTGTCTATATAATAATTAAAAAAAAAACAATACATGGTTACTTGGAGATACAAAATTTCTCTTCTTGTGTTGAAAAACATTTCACTTTATTGTTTTGCTCACTCTTGAAATATTTTTCAACATTCAAAGAGAAATTTCGATATCTCCCTCCATGTTATATCCACTATATAATATGCATCTCATTTAAGAAAGGAGGTAAACTGTATCTTGGTTTTGAAGCTGGGTGGGGGTTATGGTTGGTTGCTTTGTTTAGTTGGCTTGCTGTTATCATTCCTGTTTATTGTATTTGTGTACGATCCAGAAATTGAATGTGTCATTATTGAATGATGATTTGTTCTTGTTATGATTGCAGGAGTTAATTATCAATGAAATTCTTGTGATGAGGGAGAACAAGCATCCAAACATTGTGAACTATGTGGATAGTTATCTTGTAGGAGAAGAATTATGGGTGAGTTGTAAAGATATGAAAAAACTACTACATTCAGGTTGCTAATTTTCTGCTGAAAATTGGATGTCTCTTGATAGAGAATGATGGTTTTCATTATAATTTTTAATTGCAATGATAATAACCTTACATAGTCAAAATAATCTTTGTATCAGAGAGCTGAGTAAAATTAGCATTCCAATATTGACTATGGCTGAAACTTTTAACACTGAATACCATAAATTGTAAGTGAAACATGTTCACTAAACTTAATTTATTGATTTCCTTTCTCTTAGGTTGTAATGGAGTATTTAGCAGGAGGCTCTTTAACTGATGTTGTCACAGAAACATGTATGGATGAAGGACAAATTGCTTCTGTTTCAAGAGAGGTAACTACTTCTGTTGTGTTTTGTGTTCTTTTGTAGTGCCTGCCAGGTTATCTATACTAATTTCTGTAATCTAAAATATGCATGCATTTTGTTTGGCACTTACTTATCATCTACATCTATTGGAGAACAGATACATAGATGTTACCAATAACAATTTTGTGCTTCTTTACTACATGAAACAAATAGATTTTTTGTTGCCCTGTGTCTGCTCAGTAGTAGATTACAAAAGACACAAATATTTGTTGAGAACATCAGTAACACACTCAGCTGTGCCTTGTGTGCCACTTTTTTGTTCTTACCACCATCTGGCATCATCTGTAATCTGTTACTAAACACATGGCAGTATGAAATGTATTTGTTAATCAGTTACATTTTGTACTCATTCCTCTGAATCAAACTTATCTGCAGTGCCTCCAGGCCCTTGAGTTCCTGCACAGCAATGGAGTCATTCATAGGGACATTAAGAGTGATAACATTCTCCTTGGAATGGATGGGCAAGTCAAGCTGAGTAAGGATTTTTGAAACAAACTCTTATGTCTCAAGTTATTTTAGGATGTTCATGTATGTCATGCTGACAAAATTTTTCTGTATTTTGTTTTTAGCTGATTTTGGTTTCTGTGCTCAAATAACTCCAGAGCAGTCCAAACGTTCCACAATGGTAGGCACACCTTACTGGATGGCACCTGAAGTAGTCACAAGGAAACAGTATGGTCCAAAGGTATATCCTTACCCTCAACTTCTAGCTTAGTTTATAGAAATACAGGAGAAAAGATTGTTTCATCTTAAATGCCACAAATTCTTACCACAAAAGCTATACAAAATAACAGGGTCAACTTTGGATGGTTATTGGGTGTGTTTTGTATGATTATTTGACAAGCAAGATAACATCTTTATGGGACATTTTAACGATCTTGGCATACATTACCAAGTTCATACACCAGCAAAACTTGTGTAGTCTAATCAGCAATGTAAAACAACAAAAAAGTTTTTTTCTTGTGGTTTTAAGTAACCACAAACTTGTTTTTTTGTTGAGCTATAATTGAGGTTGAAAAAAATTAGTATGAGCAACTTTTCAAAAGATAACAGCAGTTTCCAAGAAGTTTGTCACTGTGGACCTAATTAAACAGATTAGCTTGCCACAAGTGTCCTTGTAGCTCAGTGTTAAAGCATGCTATATCATAGGTTGGACTTTTGTTGGGAGTACTTGGAAGTTTTTTTTTTTAATTCTCCTGGTAGGCCTTGTATTCACTGAATTACATCTTCCTCCAATTAGAAACTGTGTCAAACAAAACACCTTGAAAACCCGTTTTAATTTTGGTGTGAGTGGGGTATTAGATCATGTCTGCAGTGAAATTCAGCTTGGAACATGTAGTGCAATGACTTAAATTTTTCTTATATGCTGTCAACAGTCCATTGAGATGTATTGTGAGGTAATGTTTTCATGGTTATCATAGGTGGATATATGGAGTTTAGGAATTATGGCAATTGAAATGGTTGAAGGTGAACCGCCATATTTGAATGAAAATCCTCTCAGGGTAAGTACATGTGTATCTCTAGTTCCCAGTTGAAAGTGAATGCAAAGTGTTGCAATCCATTGATGACTGGGGCTCATTTTTTAGGGCTCCACCTCTCATGCTGTTGGGTAGTGAGATCCTTCTCTCACACTTCAGAATATAAGCACTGGGCACTAATTCCTTGAACTGCACCAGAGTAATGAACTTATGAAAACTATAGTTTACAGGAAGCAGTGGTGACTTGAGCAATTTTCAAGTAGTAGTAATCAGGACAAGAGGGTTTTTAGAAAGGTTCTGCAAGGTTCCTAGATAAACCATCCCACATGATTGACATTACCTCATACCTCATATTATTTTTGTAGGCTTTGTATTTGATAGCTACAAATGGCACTCCAGAGCTAGCGCATCCTGATAAATTATCTCCAGTTTTTAAGGATTTCCTTGCACAGTCACTGGAAATGGATGTAGATAAAAGAACTGGTGCTAGGGAGCTTCTCCAGGTAGAGTGCACGATGTACATTCTGTCTAGCTTGAACATTTTACAGTTCTGTCTGTCTCTCTCTCTCTGTATGTTTGTCTATCTATCTGGCTGTGTATGTCTGTCTGTCTGTATCTGTCTCTGTCTTTATGTATGTTTGTCTATCTGTATCTGTCTTTGTCTATCTGTCTGCGTGTCTGTATCTGTCTGTCTGTCTGGCCGTGTATGTGTGTTGTCTGTTGGTCTGTGTCTGTATGTCCATCTGTCTGTCTGTCTGTGGTCTGTCTTCCTATCCTTTAGCATCTGTTATGTTATCCTGTTTGTCAGTTGGTTCATCCTTCTTTATTCTATTAGATATCTGTCAGTTTGTTTGCCTGTCCGCTTTCCTGTCTGTCTAATTGTGGGCGTCCATTTTGGCTTAAACCACTCTTCTATTTGTCACTCTGAATGGACCGTTTAGCTTGTATGTATTGTTTACTCCTAACAGGTCATGTAATAGTACTCTAAAGAACTGTTTTCTTCTAATTTCCTCTTATTCACGTGCTCCAATGTGTACGCACAATTTACAAAAAAAATAAAACTGGGAATTCCCTGTAGACTAGGTGTGGGTAAACAAAACTTACCAGCTAAAGAGGTCTATGAGTCAATCATTTACATTATTTTTATTTGAATCCATTTCAGCACCCATTTTTAAAGCAAGCCAAGCCGTTGGCAAGCTTGGTTCCTCTAATTCTGGCATCGAAAGAAGCCAGCTCAAGAAACTCATAAATGAAACTGTCAATCAACAATTATCCAGCTTAGATAATAAAGCGGACAGAAATTCTTTAGAGTTTATTTTTTACACAAAATTTTATTTTTTATTGGTTAATTTCAGTGGCGAGACTTGTAGGTTTTTCATTTGTTGTGTCTTTAACGTGTACAGTAACAAAAAAATTGCGTTTTAGTTTTTTTTTTCTAATAGTCTATTCTGTAAATTTTATTCAATATTTTAGCGCCTTTGAGGATCGTCGAAAAATAGTTGAGTTTTCATAGAATCCTCGTTGTCTATATGAAAATCTTCGAGATATTCATTAATATTACCAAATAATTTAAATTTTGAAAGAGTAGGAGAATAACTACAGAGTTCCTACTACTGGTAGAGAATTGCAGTACAGGTATTCTAGCCACGATTCACCAGCTTATACCTGTTCTATACCAATTAAAACCGGTCTAAAAACGAATGTGTTGTCATATCTTCACTGAGGGTAGGTTCGCAAGAGATGTATCAAATGGTTTTCTGTTTGGAGAGGGTAGTTGTGCGCTCTGCCTTAAACCCATCCAAAGCAATTACAAAGTTAATCAATTGAAGAATAATATCTTAAGAAGAATATTTGAGAGCTCTAATAAGAACAAAAAAACTGCATGCAACGCGAAAAAACGCGAGCGCCGAGTTGTTTCACGCCTGATTGGTCGAGATGGTGGCGATTGTCAAGTCACCTGTTGCGTGATCCAGTAAGGAAGTGCGCGCCCTTCTTCAACAATCCAGGGTCTTAAAGTGGGCCTTGATGCGTTCACTTTTTCCAGTTGTGTTCCCGCTGGTTCCTCAATTATTATTGCTCTCAGTAGCCCGTTTTATTTTGGATTCGATTTTACGAAATGCGATCAAAAAAGCTAGGTTCGAAAACCAGGCCGCGGTTGAATTTCTCGAACATCGCTAAGGGCTTGCAAATTTCAGAAGACGCAGAAAACCAAAGATAAGAAGTAATCACTTGATATTCTCTTAGCAATACTTTACAACCCAAAGCTCATCGAGTATGACTTCCTCAGCCTCCGTCGTCAATTGACATAGTAGGTTGCACACAGTCGTCATATCAAACCAACCCTTAAATATATATTTGCTCTATCGACCAAGCCTACTAAGTCCAGAAAGACGTACGTTCCCGAAATCCTTCGAGGGTCTATCACGTGACTAGCACTAATAACGGCAAACTTGTGGTGTATAACGTTGTTTTGACCGTCGTCGCGACATAAGGTTGCTATGGCTGGGGACTGCTGCCTATGTCATTACAGAAGTTTTCTCTTGTAGATCAATGTTGTTATGAAGTTTTGAACGTTGATGTTAACTAGCTGGCGTCCTCTTAGAACGCTAACAAACACTCGCAGACAAGCGCGACTGACTGAGACAACCTGAAGCGCAAGAGACCATGCCCTACCTCCTTTGCGTGCCTGTAGGTTCTCAGAAGAGAGTCGTCTGGGTAAGAGGCAAACCAATGCAGGCAAGACAGATTTACCATTCAGGTTACTAATCAGGACCCAGCTCTTCAAAGGGCGGATAACGCTGTCCAACAGACAAAATCGCTAACCAGCATATCAGTGTTAGCAAAACGCACTGTACCATTACCATATAGAGATTCATCCAATGGATGGCGTAATCACCCCTCTATCAAACGGGGCCAGAATATCAGTTCGCTTTCCCTTAAGCGCTGGCAGAGCTAACAGGTGTTAGGCAAGGTTTTAGGATTCGGCACCGAACCCTTACGACATACGAATTTATTTTATAGTTTTCAGGTTACAAAAAAACAGCGGCGACCTGGGCGCAGCTTTACGAATTGATTATAGTACAGATTCCACAACGAATCGAAAAACAAAAGGAAACCGGTGTAGAAAATTGGAACCCAGAAACATGTAGTGCACGTTAAGCACAGGAAAATGTTCTCAGTTGTGTGGATGGTGAGAGTTCAAAATAGTCTAAAAAACGGCTGTGAAGGAGACTGGGTTAAACTATTACTGAAAAGAAAACGAAGCTACTCAGCGCTACACCAAGCCAACTTAAGATCACTTGTAAAATTTAAAAAACTATTAAATAAATTAATAAATAATGAAAATTCATGTATGATGTACAAAACAAATACGAAAGCAAACTTTTTCATTCATTCTTTCAAAACCAAAAAGCGCATGCGTTTTTCGTATCTTCCTCTATTTAGTGTTTTGATTTGTAAATCACAAGGCCTAGAGGTTACTGTTTCATCATTTGTTCTATGTGATGTTGTCAAACAAAAATTCGTAAAATGCTCCTCCTACAATTTGAGCTGTCCTTCAAAAAAGTGTGTCGGCTGAACTAATGAAAGTCTCTCTTTGCGTGGTTAACTTTCTTATCACGTCGTAGTTGGCTTATTTCTGGGCTGAATTCAATAGCAAGACACTCCTTTTGCGTTAATAATACACAAAATCTTCTTGAGTCGCTACAGGTCGATTAACTTGGATTTCTTGGATTTGTCCAGCTCTTTTTTAAAATATGCAATTGTTCGATTGAGGCCGACTAGCAAAGGCACCTGTCGAGAGAAAGTAGGAAAAAAACATCTTAACTATCAGTTTTTCAAATTTTTATCTTAAATATTTCTCATTGAAGCATTTGTAAAACAGTTTCAGTTAAAACCTTACAACAGAAAGTAAATGGAAAAGCCTTTTCTTGCAACCGCGTTAAAATGATTTTGCATTTTCTGTTTGACCCATTCTCCTCAGTTATTCCTTCTTTACTTTTGTTTACCTCTTATCACAGTTCATGGCACATCACGTTTTAAAACTCTTCGACTATGTGTAGAAGTGGGAGTTGTAGAAAATACAGGCAACGCCCTTGTGCACCAGAGCGTCTAAGGGGCAACCTGTTTCTTAGAGGACGTTAACGTAGGCTCACGTCATGATTTTGCACCCCTCTTCTGAGAGGCGGTTTGGCACGAAAACCGTGGTCGACGCCACTTCGAAATTTGCAACGATGTAGAGCGTAAATAAGTAAAGCGAGGTTTCATATAGTACACATACGCATACAAAACGTAAAAACGCGTAAAAAAATCGCGTTTGTTCTTGTTCTATGCAAAACTGAAAAAAGGAATCTTAAAAAAATCTGAAAACATGCTGTGACTGAAGTTCCGAATCTCTTATTTCCGCTCAACTCACTTAACTCCTTATTTGACTGCTTTTCCTAAATAAGATTATGAATGTTGATTAATCATACCTTTGGCTCCCAGCCAAGGTATTTCCTGGCGCGAGATATATCTGGTTTACGTCTCTGAGGATCGTCTTCCATCTTTGCAACGTTCGAGATCATTGTTTTGCCACCTGAGAAATTTTACAAGCAATTATCTGTTTTTTCCTCCTCAATCATCTTTGAATTAACATGGTGTAAAGATCACTGCACATACAATGGAATTCTTATTTAAAAGTTTACGCCAAAATCACAGCCACGTTTCCTTCTATCGATTGTCATAAAATTCAAACCAAATAATCACATCGACAAAGAGAAAACATGGGTAAATGTCACAGAAGAAAACTTAGTGGCGCGAATATTTTAAACCAATTCATAATGCGACGAAAAATCTAACACAATCCAGGATCACTTTTCAACCAGACCACGGTTTATGTTGCCAACGCAACGAGTCTTGACTGCTTTCCGCTTACGTCTCATTCGTTGACTGGGTACAGTCAGAGAGATTCTGATGCCAAATTTTAATCGAGCAGCGAAATTAAAACATGATTGCTTTGATTTTACTTTAAATAGCTCCGTGATTGGTTCAAGAAACTCGCACCGCTTGCTTAAACAACTTTCTTGGCGCAATACGACGATATAACAACTACATATGTTGCCAGTATATGTGTGTGTCAGTGTGTGTGTGTGGAAGGGGGGGATGGGGGGATGACGGAAATTCTTCATACCAGAGTCATCTTCTACTTACCAACGGTTGCACTAATCATTTCCGCAAACTCCATTATTGTGTATTCCACTGGATTTCCCTGCAAAGCAAAGGTGGGACTCTAAGTACTGAGAAAGCCTGCTGGCAAGTAATTTGTAAAAACATCTCAATTTTTTGGGGCTTTCAAGAATAAACCTTCTTGTATACACTGGAATCATGTTCAATAACTTACTATGTTGACTGGTTGGGAGAAATCACTGTTCATCAGAAGAATTAATCCATTGACCAAATCACTGAGAAATAATAATGGAACAAAGACATTTTGATATCATCATGGTTACTGACTTACAATTGAAACAGTGCAAAATCGCTCAAATAAGTGAGATAGTTAAACCTTACATATAGATGTCCCTCTCTACTGAAAAATTTGGGACGCCCTTAGTTAGAAGCTTATCTCTCGTGAGCCAAACTAATTCATTATAGTAAGCCTAAGCTTAAAAAATTTTACGAGTAAAAGGCGGGAAATTTAAATGTTATGGGAGCCACCAGTCTTTACACAAGACACGGTCACCTCATAAGAAGTTTTTATCATTTAACACAGTTACTGAATCGAGGATGTGTCCCCCAACGACGAAATAGCTCAAACTTCTCAATTAGACGTTAGGAATGGATCAGCAAGCGTAAGCTGGAGAACTTTTCCGAAGTCAGCGTAAATTTGACTTGTATCATTAAGTCGTCAACGTTATAATTTTTGGTGTAACAAAATTGGTCTCCAAGGCGAGGACACGGATAAGCGTCGGTGGTTTTTTAAAAGGGCATACGAGCAAAGATATCTCCGCCCTTATGAAGAGATCTGCGATGCACGTCCGCCTAAATTCGGCGTGCCTGCTCCGCGGGCAATACCGTAATAAATGTGAACCACTTTTACTGTTACTTGTGCAGACAAGATGTTTACCTCACAAGGCACTCTACCAACCTGATATACTGAAACGACCTTGTTTGCTTTCCACTTCCGTAAACCTGGTTGATGGAAAATAGAGAAAGTTCAGCAATGAACACAAAGGGCTGGTTATTTACACGATGTCTAACCCAAACCGCGGTTTTATGCCAGCAGTGGGCCTTAGGTATTCTCTAGAAGAGGGTTGATTTCATTAAATAAATCAGTGTCCTTCCTCTGTTAGCTTCCGGTCCTCCCGACATTGTTCACGAAAATAAATGTTAAGATAAAAGGTTCAGCTAAATTGAAGATGGCTTAAACAACGGCTAAAATTTGTTATAATAACCGGCTCAAAGAGTTCAGTTTCCTTAAAAGCGACACCCATCAGCATTAACTCTATCTGCATGCAGCTCTGGACAACAATTATTTACCATTTCCCAAGAAACTAAATCACTTATATCATGATTTTCTCACCGTTAGTGGCTTCCCTTCTAAAGCTTGCATGATGAAGTTACTAACAACACGACCTGTTTTGAAGGAAAACACATCAAACTGATCTTGTGTCTACATTTTGTTATAAACAAGAACCATCACCGTGACGTACCGTCATTCATGTGCATTCTGGGTCCAAATGTGTTGAATATTCTGGCCACACGCACTTCAACATGGTCCTTATACAAAAATAACAAAAAAAGAAAAACAAATTAATTGACTCTCTCTTTCGGCCAATACGGAGTTTTATTTCACTTTTAATCAACCCAGAAAAACTAACGAAAAAGCTGTCTGACTAGTACCAGTCAGTGAATGTTTACAAATATCTACAATTTTCGACCCCGTGTTGTTGTTAACCAATAGGCCAACAGGCAGCATTTGCTTTCACTCCTTAGTACGTTTAACCATTTTCATATTAGAGCACATATTGATTTAGAATCAGTATTAAAACCAAAGTAAACAATTAAGTCCTTCACACCAAAGCGGGAAAAATTTCAAGAAACAAATGAGAAATCTAAGTAAATATGAGTAGATGGTCTGTAGCGCGGGAATATCACTACTCGTGTTTTTGTTTTCCTTTTGCAGCTGACTGGTTGAAAGGGAATTTGTTTTTTTTAAGCAACGCAGAGCGTAGTATATCAAAACCATTTTAACATCGGATTATTTTCCACACACAACTACAAGTTTATGCCTTACAAATTTTGCACAATGCAGGTGCATGTTCGGGACATAATAAGCCACGAGTAACTGCAAAACGACTAAGAAATTAGTCAGAGCAACAATTCCTACGCTTCATGTGGGATAGAGAGCTTTTATGAACATCTGCCTCCTTGACCGAATTCGTGCCAAGAAGTGAATATTTGCAGGGAGAAAATGAGACGCTGGGATTTGTTTTGACAATCGGATCACTTTGACCAGGATATCCTCTCGAAGTAATTTGACATCCTGTAATCCCAGTGTCAACATATTATGTCAGTATCTATAACGCGCATTTCCAGAGTGTGGTAAAATGAAACCAAAGTAATCACAACAGCCAGTCAGAAATGGGGAAAAGATTGCAAGGAGCCAATTAGAATCCAACAAACACCTGACAGAAGCGCGGGAAAACAAGAGTGACCAAGTCGCGATTGATTTTAGTTTTGAATCTGATTGGTTCAGAAAGTGGCGCGAATTTTCTGGACCAATCACAGAGCAAAGTTAAGTAAAACCAAAGCAATCCCGGATTATTTTCGACGCTAAATTGAAAATTGCTCTATTAACCCTTTAACCCCTGACAGAGACTAGCATCTAATTTCTCCTTACCATATCACCCCTGAATCAAACATGAAAGCCATGAGAATAAAGGAGATGATCACCAACCAAAGCAGCTCTTGATTGTGAAACAAATTCTCCTTGTCAGCCTCTTCGGAAAAGTACGGAGAACAGTATGGAGAATATGCATACTGATGTTAGGGTATAAAGGGTTAAGAGTGTACCTGTTTGGCGTATGCATAACACATTGTCTCAGCAACACGTTTGCCTTCGTCGTAACACGCTCGAGGTCCAATCGGATTGACATGGCCCCAGTACTCCTCTCGCTGGGGATGTTCCTTTAGTAAACACAGGGAAGAAAGCAAAAGATCGTGAGTTGTGATGAAAACTTTGTGAACAGAAATTTTGTAAAAAAAAAAAAACACCTGTGACATACCTCTGGATCTAGAAACCAAACAAGAGACGAAACATGAAAAACAAAATAAAATTAAATCGTTAGCCAGATGTTAAAGGTTTAAAATGACTCTCAATAAAATAAATTTGAGTATGGGCATAGAGTATCGACTTATCAGATTCAAGAAAAGCGTTCTTTACCTCCGTACACCTCTGATGTTGAAGCCAATAAAAGCCTTGCATGTACTCTCTTAGCCAGACCTTTCAAAGAAAACAACAAGTCTGTTTATGATACAAACATACTAGACTGTAATTTTTCCTGTCCAAAGACATGTTATTTTTTTCCCAATAGGTAATTGGAGAGGTACAAAAAGGCATTTTTGACTTATTCTGAAGTACTAATTTGTACATTGGCCAATTTCATTGGATTGTCAGCAGTATGTCCAATCAAACAGGGGGATACACTTTATGAGTAAGGATCAATTTTGATTCCTGGCCAATTGCAAGACGGCCACAGAGGCCTTCACTTCCATATCACTAAATTTTTGAAAACTTCCTGCAAAACCAAAAGTAAGAGTCAAAAAATCATAATTTTAAATATCTGTTATGTAGAGAAAGAAATACCAATACATTTGTTATGGCTGTTTACACTAAATATGCAAACTAAACCATGTTTGTAGTAATGTATTCCTGCAAATGATTTTGATTATCATAAACCTTACCAAGCATATTAAGAGTTCCCAAGGTATTTGTCTTTATTGTCTGTAATAAAAATGCAAACCAAGCTGCTATCAGTGGAAAGCCTTCTAGAAATATGTCTGTTTGTGTGTGTGTTTATGGATGAGGACAGGGATGTAAGAGATGTACTGGGGTGAGAAGGGGGATGTAAAAGATACCTTGGGGTGAGAAGGGGGATGTAAAAGATACCTTGGGGTGAGAAGGGGAATGTAAAAGATACCTTGGGGTGAGAAGGGGGATGTAAAAGATACCTTGGGGTGAGAAGGGGGATGTAAAAGATACCTTGGGGTGAGAAGCGGGATGTAAAAGATACCTTGGGGTGAGAAGGGGGATGTAAAAGATACCTTGGGGTGACTAGAAGTAGATAGTTTATTCTGATTAAAATCGCAGAAAAAGCTGAATTAGATAAATCGTTACAATTGTAAAATAAAAGTATGAGAAAAGTATAAGAAAAATGTACACAGATTAACTACAATTACTTTATATGAATGTAATCATGAGTCTCTTCGTCTTAGCCAGAGGAACATTAAATTTCCTCTTTCTTCTCAAATTGAGTTCACAGTTGTTCTGAGGAGGCAGGAGCTTATACAGTTTATGGTCTGAGTTACAGGTGATGGAATCAAAAAGCTTAGTTGTGATAGACTGCCTGCATTGGGAGAGCATCTCCAAGTTGGCTTGATTTAATGCGTCGTGAGAAGGGGGATGTAAAAGATACGTAGGGGCAAGAAGGGGGATGTAAAAGATATGTAGGGGCAAGAAGGGGGATGTAAAAGATACATAGGGGCAAGAAGGGGAATGCAAAAGATACATGGGGGCAATAAGGGGGATGTAAAAGATACATAGGGGCAAGAAGGGGAATGCAAAAGATACATGGGGGCAAGAAGGGGGATGTAGAGTGAGAAAAGGGATGTAAAAGATACCCTGGAGTGAGAAGGGGGATGTAAAAGACATGCTAGGGTGAGGAGGGGGATGTAAATGACATCTTTGGACGAGAAGGGGAATGTAAAAGATACCCTGGGATGAGAAGGGGAATGTAAAAGATACCCTGGGATGAGAAGGGGGATGTAAAAGATACCTTGGGGTGAGAAGGGAGATGTAAAAAGATACTCCAGGGTGAGAAGGGGGATGTAAAAGATACCCTGGGGTGAGAAGGGGGATTGTGTAGCTCCTCCCACCCTCACCTCCTTGAACAAAATCATCTGTTCCTTGAATCATGTATATGATCTAATAAATTTCAAAATCTTTGGTGATGCAAACTTGCCAGACACTGAGCAGGTAAAACTAACATCATAGAGAAATTTGTGAAGTGTGCTAGAATGAAAGTTGATGCAGTTGACCTTAAATGCAAAGCTTGAATGTGAATTGGCTCCACCATAGCATAGACTAAATAATTCACACCATGGTAACAGGCAAAAACTGTGAGATGTAAGAGTTTAGAGGACTTACAAATTTAAAGAAGCAGCTCTTACCTTAATGGGATTGTACATATAGTTAGGAGGTGATGCTGGTGATGCCAGATGATAAATCTGGTCAACTGCATGAAAAGAAAATATTTGTGCATGTTTAGCCTCAGTTTTTACTCTAAAATTGAATGTTACAATAAACCCATTTACCACGTCACTTCTGGGATCAAAAGAAAATTCTCCTAACTGGTGCCTATAAATTTCTTTTTGGGCCATTCTTGAGAATTTCAAGACAATATCCCCTGGTATGATCACTCTCTTAGTTCTCACTATCTTTCTGCTTGACAGCGTGTTAAAACTGAAAAGGGAATTTATCAAATGATCACTTCTGGAAGTAAAATGGCCAAAAGTAATGTGATGGGATTGGTGATGACCTCTTACACAACGTATCCTGCTACTCTGACTGGCTCATTAAGTTTTTGGTACATTCTCACTTCCTATCACGGTTATGCTAAAGAATTTGTTTTATTTTACTGTCAGTAATGGCAGTTAACCTTTTTCTTAACTTTGTCCCACATTCTTATTTTTCTTATTTGTTTTCTTTCTTGTTAACCTACACTAAATGGTTTGAACCTGGAGGTAACATGTGCAGAAATGGTAAATTTGACTGAAAACAGCTTTTCACCTGACTCTGATGATGGCTTCCACTCAGGTTGTCAAAACATCAGTCATCACTTCTGACAACAGTCCTTCTCAGAACTACACTCACCCAGATAATTAGACCACACTATCACAATAATTAGATTGTTTCACACCTTCTCGGCTAGCTCTCCTCATTAGCTCCACTCTACTACCCATGTTATGTTTGATAATGGTCTTCCAATCAGTATATGTAATTCTTGCTTAAACTCATATTCTAAGTTGGCAACTGAAGATGTTCTTAGGAGTTATCTTGTTATGGCTTACAATTACTGAGCAAAAATAATCAATAAATCCCAAGCTAACCTCAGGAATCAGTTCAAAGTAGTTTGTGACAGATTTCTGACTAACTTACCTTCTAATAAAACTGGTTCCACAATATCGTGATTTAAGAGTTCAAAATTTTCATGTCCAATCCTGCAAGACGAAATAAAGTTCATGTGAAAATACTACTTATACATTTAAAGTTATCTTCAGTTGGAAAAATTACTCCAAAGTTATTAAATAGCATAGTTAATATAGGCAAAACCATCTGCAACACATAATTAACTACCGATCATAATTTCAGGCTGTGAGCTAGGATTTAAGGGCATTTTTTTTTTAACTTTCTTTTAAATTTGAGAAGAGATGAAGGAAAGTCATTTTTGGAAATATAACTGTAACATTGTTAAAATAAGAACAAAAACCCATTTTAGAGAAGATAACACAGTTCTATAACTATTGTAGATACAATTTTGTCTGATCCTGGGTGACAGATATAAGATCAGTAACATTATTATAGTTCACATTTCTTAATTTCTTAAATGCGTCCGTCAAGCTTGGGTGACTAGGCCACTGAATGAATGACGAATAGTCTAAAATGAACTTAAGAGGTGTACAACCAAATTCTATATCTGTTACCATTTCAGCTTGTAATGTTTAATTGCATTATATCTCTTCCAGTAAGCTTTCTTGCAACTTTGCCCCCAAATAGGATTAATAGTTCCCTTGGCTTTTTTTGAGGGGAACAGGTTTTAAGTTATAGAGTGACTTTGGTACAATTCCAGAGCCTGGCTCAAAAATAAAAAATGAACATAACTTAAATTTTGTAACAACTACTGTACTAAAATGATGCAAGACTGATTCACATATCCCCTGTGGTGACAATGATAACCCAGAAGATAGTAAAATGGTTCAAGTTTGGTCCCACTTATTTCACAGATCTCATCGATAATAATTGATTTTGACTTCTTACCAATGCTCAATATTTCGTTTTCTTCCTGTGAAAAAATTATCTACAACAGTGACCTGCCATAAACAAAAAACCAATATAAATAATGCACTGTAGGTGAAGCTGATTGTTAAAAACTTGAACACTAAAATATATAAAATGAAAAGAACTGGATTATCAGAAGGGTAATATAAGGGGTATACCGACCAAACTTATGTCCTAGCTTGAAATGAATTTTATCGAGAAAGAAACATTTCTTTAAACTGCCAAACTGATCATTTTCACATCTCAATCTATAATCCTTTTGATCTTAGTCATAAAAATGCAGACTCAGAAACAAGGCTGTAATGCCTTTATGACAAGCTCAAAAAGGCACCATTTAGTACTAAGAAGTTAATCCAAAATAAATTGGGTCATTAGGATTAATAGTTGATATAGACTTTGTATATTATTTACTTTAAATCAAGATGATAGTAGATGGTGACAGAGTCACATGACTTGGGGAACATATTGAGATCTTAGTATTACTCTAACTCACTCACAGCAGGCTGCAGTCAATTAATATTTCTCAAACTCAACAAAATGCCTAGATAAAATTTCACAACAATTTTCTAAGTCTAACTCATGAAATAAGAAATTCACTTCAGGAACAAGTTGCAGTTAACCCTATGAAAATGTTTTCCAAAATCAAGATTAATAAAATCAAATATAATTTAAATAGAGACAGCTGGGACCAAAGGGTATGAATTTTGATAACAAATAAAAAAAATATTGGTTCTTGAATTTCCAGCTGAGTGTCATTTTGGATTTTGTCATGTCACATGGTTGCCTGTATCAATTTCAAACTATTTAATTCCTATGTCATTATTTTAATTCAGTGGGGTGTACTTTGTTGCACAACCTGCTTAACTTAAAAGCTGCTCTTCTTGCTAAAATCCATTGTTATTTATCCTCATTTATTCTTAACTTCACCACAAAAAATTAAAATTTCTTTCATCTTTTACTTCCTTTAAATTTTGTTTATATATACACCAATGACTGTGCAAAAATTGCAAGCTGAATTGAAGCCTTTCTGTTTGGAAAGAAAAACACTGAAGTACCAGAAAGACCTAGAATTCAGTTAGATAGAGGTATTTATTTCATAACTAAGTATTAGCATACCTCATGGCCAGCCATAAGTAAAGCATCAACCAGATGAGATCCAACGAATCCTGCCCCACCTGTCACCTAGCAACAACCAACATAAACTACATAAATCAAAACTGAATAGATTTCCTAAATGACAATGTTACAATTTACAATAAACATGTACAAACAAGGCAAATGTTACATTCTTCTGAACTAAAGCTGTTCTTGACTCTAAATGCTACCCATTGGTTAACTTTGTAACTTAAAATTACATGTGGGTAGTCTTAAATTGTTGCTGAGAGCTACCTTGTATAGAATAACACTTAATGTGTGTTTACTTAATAACTCATCATTTGCAATGCATTTTTACAGTTCACATAGCAAAAGCAAACCCCTCTTTCAGGTTGGATAGAAAAATTTATATCAGACAGAAACAGCCTTCTAAATAAGTTTACAATCAGAAGATTGTTTATTCTAACTTGGGTAATTTCAATTTTAACATACCAATTATTCAGCTCCACTCTCAACATCTTCAGCAATTTTAACAGTGTGTTCATGAACTTTGAACTCTTTAAGTTGCTGCATTATTTTGCAGTTTACAGTAGTTTACAGCAAAGATATGACTTCACTTGATAGTTCATTGCTCAATTAACCCTGTAATCCCTTAAAGTGACTGGCAACTAATTTCTCCTTACAATATCACCCCTGAATAAAACATTAAGGTCATGAGAATGAGGGATATGATCAACAACTAAAGAAACTCTTGATTGTTAAACAAATTCTCCTTTTCAGAACCTTAAGAAATGTATAGAGAAGGTATGGAGACTATGCATACTGATCTTAGGGTGTATAGGGTTCAGCAATAAACCACACTCTCTAAAAGTTTACTAGCAAAATAATCCAGACAGGAGGTTGGGAGAACACAATAAAAGTTTAACCCTTTAATTCCCATGAGTGACCAAGACAGAAATTCTCCTTACTATATCATTCTATACAATACCATGCAGACAAGTGATGAGAATAAAGAAAAATATCAATTATCGGATTACTGATTGATACAATACCAAATTCTCCAAATAACATAATGAGAATCATTTGGCAGATAGTAAGGAGAATTACCAATGAGATCTTGAGAGTTAAAGGGTTAATGCACAAAATACAAGCTGTAAGCATGTGATTTACAAACCTTTGTAGTTATTATGTTGTTACTATGCCAGCAAACCAGAAGAAAATGCAGTCTATCGCTTATATAAAATAAACTTATAATGTCTAAATTTTCAGTGGGTTTACCTGTGAAATAAATGATAGGTTTCTGACCAATCAGGGTGCTCCTAACATCTCAGTTTATTATAAGTAAAAACTATTTCAAAGGATATGATAGTCTGGTCTACAACCAAAACAGAATATTACAAGACTTACTAATATTCTCTTGCGATCTTTTTCAGATAAATATTTTACTGGAGGATATTTTCTTTCCCTGTTTAGAAGAAATGAAAAAGATTATTCTTAACAATGCTAGTATTAAATTTAACAGTTATTAATACAAACAGTAAAACAAGCCATCATTGTTTCTACTCATAGCACTGAAACCAAATGTAACATACTTGTTTTCCAAATTGGTAATTCTTAACTCAAGTGGCTTCAATTTTTCATCAAATGTCTGAAAAGAAGGTATATCCATTAGTAAAAAATATGACTATTATATCATAAAATATCAAGTCTATCTAGCACCATTCCATGATAGACTTCTCCAGAGGTTTTTCACAAGCAAGCTACTGCTGTATAATAAATCAGCTTTTACTTATTGTCTTCTTCCCAGCTTATAAAGCAAAGGCCAGAATTATCTCAGTTCAAGACAACTCATACCTCTATATTATATTTTTGTAAATTTTCTTTCAAATCCTCAAGAACTCTTTGGGATATCCTGGTGGAGCAAGAAATACAAATTATTTTGACTTCATGTTTAAAATTTGTACCTTAAATAATCGCTAATATTTATTAAGCATATCTATATATGTAAAGGAGTTTTCTTTTGAGTGGAAGATGAACATCCCAGGAGTTTTTCCTAGTAAACTATGGGGTATGAGGATCTGTTTGTGGTTGGATGAAAAAGTGGAACCTTCAGCCCTTAGGCTGCAGTACATACTTTACACCTCATCCAAAGTGCATGATTTGTACTCCCAGTTCAAACTCTATAGAGTGTAGTCCTTAATTTCAAGAACTATACAAAGATTAAAGATTGCGATGGATACTGACTAGTTGCCTTCACTAGCCTATGCCTACAAACCAACATTTACAATGCAACAAATATCTTTTGCTCACATATGATCGGCTTAAATGCATTACCTAATTGAATCATCTAGTGAGGAAATATGTTTGTCCTTGGACATAATCTGTTCCTTAAAGCTCACAGTTTTCCTCAAGCTTTTCTCTCCAAAAGCTATTTGCATCTTAGAACATTTATAATGCTTGTGGACAAATATCTGTGCATATTTTTGCACCAAATGGAGGCTATTGTTTATATGTAAGTGCCTAGACTTCAGTTTTAACTTTTCAACCTATTTTCCACCCTTAAAATTTGTCACTAGCAATAAAAATGAGTTATCACATTAGTGGACTGTATTTTTCAGTTATGGCGTGGTGCTAGCTCTGGCCATAAGGTATTACACACATTATATGCATTCTTGTTAATTGTAAAAGAAAGAAGAGATTTGACATATAAAAAAACAGCTGTAAGCTTTTTTTCACCCTGCAGAATCCTGATGGACCAAGAATCTTGTCAGGCAGCCCAATCTCATAACATATTCACCTAATTTTTGCGGATCAGGGATTCAGTCAAAAAATAATAAAAAGTAAAGAATATGTCTCAAAGCAAGAAAGCGACCTCCATGTACTGTTTTAACTAAAAGAATGAAAAAGCAAGAAACACAATCATATTTATGTTACAGACCCTGCTAGTCTTATATATATTTGTAACTACAATTAACTGAATCTGCCCAGAGATAACCCGATCAATGAGCTGGAACAAGTACAACTTTGAAAGATAACATAAATTAACAACAGAATGCATCCTTTCGTGTAAGCGCCAGATTACCACAATAATACCAAAAGAGCACAAATATCTGATGAGGTGAACGCTCATTCATATCCATCTGTAAGTTTAAACTTAAAATTAAAGCTTTGGTTAGACATTATCGTGAATCGAAACACGATCAACTGTTGATCACAGGAGGCAATATACCTACATGGTACCAAATCACTATGTCATAACACTCTTAAGGCTCACCTTGCCTCATTTGCAACAACACTTCTGTTACGATTCACTGTTGCCCAGCTTACTAAGAAAGAAGATAAGAAAAACAGTCATCACCTGGCATGTTTGTGGAAGTCAAGAGAAGACGGACAAATCATTTTACACGTGTGCCTTTCAATATCACCATAAGATAAGGCAGGCTACTTACGTTTCCAGATTTAATCGCTTCACTTACCGACTAAAATTGTTCCAAAAATGAGCAAAATGAATACTTTGAACTTCCTGTTGAGGAAAGAAAACGCATCTATGCCATAAGCCATTTCTGAGTTTATGTTTTTTCCAGTATTACCCGTTCCATTCTCAGCGATTATTAATTTTCAATGAACTTCCGAATTATTGAAACGTTTGTCGTCAATAGTTATTCCCAGTCTGTTGGGATTTAACAAAAGGGGGACTGGGAACTACACCAATCGAGTTGGAGGGCGGAGGGCTGATTCTCGCGTAACTAAACGAAGCGAGAGATAAACAACCAAAAACACCGAAAGAAAGAAACAAGGGGTGAATTAGAGACCAAACCAAACTGCGACCATTCATTGATCATTCATCGCTTGACAGATTTTACCCATGTTTGCCGGATTGACTAGTCAAGGGTCCTTGAGTTCCAAACTGACACCATTTCTTAAATAAAACCAAGATGTTTTCAGCCTGGTTTAGTGTCACTGATTTAAAAACCGATTGAGCTCAAGAAACCCCTATTTCAACCGAATTTCAACCTAAGTATGATTCATCAAAGTCACGACGTTTGAAAGATCTTAAAGGATCGATAAATCAACAAATTAAATTATTTTCAATTCTCACTCAACAAAACCTTGCATAATTTTCACAATTTCCCTTGTACCAGTTCGTGGTACCAAACATCTCATGTGTAAATTATTTCTTTGAAATCCAAATTACCGACACATACAGGGACCAGGATTTGCTTGAAACAAGTCTTCTAATACGCGGTTATAAGACCACAACTCACAACAACCTTAAATTAGTATTTATTTCGTTTTAAAGGCGTTTAACACCATAAAAAGTCATATTCAATATTCAATCATGCCTATCATTCCAACCAATTTTCATGATGAAAACTTATTTAAAGATATGACCCAACAACCCCTTCAGTTAATTGCATTTTGCGTGATTTTATTGTTCGCGCTTCATGTGGATTCTTAAGAAGTTTCCCGGTCCGTCTTGTAATTTATTGCTCAGTGGTGAGTTGAAAGAGGCATTTTGTACCTCTGAGAAACAGTTACGAGTGCTGGCTGCCAGGGAGTCGCCCTAAAGAGTTTTCCCAGGTCCTGTTTTGTGCCATCAAGGGTTAGTAAATCCCTGTTTGCTAGCATTTTATTTCAATCAATACCCGCCAAGTTTTTTGGGTTGCAAGTCCCACTACTTACGCAAGCCCGACTCCCGAATCCTTAGAGGACTAACTAGGTCTATCATCACTTTCCAATCGTCCAATCGTCATACAATATAACCTCTGTGGTTATTGGTCACTACAGACGTCCTCTCTACAACAGCAACACCAAAAGCCATAAAGTAAATCATCTTGGGCGGAAAGTTGTTTTGTTATTTTCTTTTTAAAAAGAAAAGCTATGGTTGCTCTTCACACACGAAAAGTCAGTCTCTTCACACCGACTCAGCGTTTGTTGGGAAAAACAGTTACATGGAGCTGAAGTACACAGAACAAAATAAATTAACGATTAGCAACGGTTTTAGCTAGTTATACCTTGACAGATATGGTTGAGAAAGAAGAAAATAAAAATACAAATTTTAAAATACGAGAATGTTTTTGAATTTTCAATGCTAGCTCGGGTTTGGTGCACATTTTCGTCTGTTAAAAGCGCGATTCAAAGTCCGAGAGAACTCGTAGCAACCTGGCAACCAAAAGAAGCACGCATTACATATAAAGCTTACGAATATCTGTAATGCTTTTAGAGTAAGTCGGTGGAGTTGACTGACTAACTGTTCATATCAAAACTGAGCTTTTTGTATTCGATGTGCATGGCCTTCTTTATTTTTAGTTAAGATTTCGAGGTTCTAAACTTTGGAGATTTTGAAAGACTTGAGAGGACTTATTAGAACAAAAGTACCCGCAGAAGCTTGTAATGTTGACGACTGTCGCCGAGGTAGCAGGAAATACAGCTGCCACATGTGAATTAACTTGTGAATTTAAGAATTTTGACTCTTTAGGAACACATGAGGCGGGTAGCCATTATCGTTTGTTTTGGTATATACGACCTTCTTGGAAGGATCTGTACATTCAAAACAGGATTTAGTTCCCTCCCACCACTCCACCCCCAGACAGTTTCCTTTACACAGCTCTTTGCACTCGTCTGCTGTTTTTCCAGTGGCGAGCCTTTCTCCAGACCTTCCTGCAAGGCTACACCACTGAGGTGTAAAGTGAAGCCAGCTAAACACAGGACTTGGAACTGAAATTGTCAAACAACCAAAAACTAGGTTAAACGCGCGGGCCTCTTGGTCAGTGAACTGGACTCTGGGTGGAGAGGTTGGAGTTTGAGGCCTGCCCCGCAAGTCATAATATTGGGCCTCGGCGATTTGTCAGGGAAAGCTGGTGAAATGAATTAGGTGGGGGGGGGTAAGCTTCTACGGACTAACATTCCATCCAAGGAGGAGCAAAAATAGTCATGATATTTTCATTGCTCGCTTTTCCTTTGTTTACTATTGTTTATTTATTTATGTCTACGTTTCCTACGATAATTACAAAAAAGCTTTCGGTCATCCTAATAAACTTAATGGGATGTGACACAAGCTAAAACAATATGATTGATAAGGTTTTTCAATTCCTTTGAAAAAAAAGTTCTTTGGCTTCTTCTCAAAATCTGGTATTTTCTGGCCAAGAATGATTCAGATTAAAATTACATTTATGACTAAACAACGCATATGACGCATACCGTTGTTGAGATCTTTGGACAAAGACATGACATTTTAGAATTGGCTCTTTCCCAAGAGTAAGCAAGGAAGTTTTCACACGATCATTCAACGCAGCACACGTATGTTTTATTATCCACTTTGCGTTTTTTCTATTTGAACTTAGCACATATCCGGTCATCCCCCCCCCCCCCCTCCGAGACGTAAAGGTACCCGTGAGCTTTTATACAAAAATTTCTACTCAAAACTGAATGGGAACTGCACATTTCAGTCTGAATCATGGACTGAATAAAAGTTAAAGCAACTGTCGACTGAATTAAGTGTAAAGCCTCTATTAGCGATAAGTATACTTGATATACTGCAAACATAAGCATCGTTTAATTTAATTCGCAAAACTTACTTGTTGGATCTTGTATCACTCCTGGAGAGTGGACCATCTTAACCTGAAAAATACTTTGATTAACGTCTCAGTGTTTGTTGAGAAATATTGAAAAACTGAATTCGTCAGTTTACTTTCGAAAAGATGTAAAGATCTGTATGGGTACCTAAAATTATCTTAACAAAACATCCAAACACAGGAAACGCCTTTAGTAAGTTAATATTATGCGTGGTTATCAGTTTTTGAGGAAACTGTTTTATTGCGTCCGCGGACAAGAAAAACAATTACCGGTTATTCGGTTGTCAACTGAGGTTCCCAGCAGTCGCCCTTCGCTGTAGCCAATTTTAATGAATTTTTCATAGATATAATTGATTTTCGACCGGTGGCTCGTAATTTTCTAAGAAGAATCATCACACGCTCCATTAAGATTCATTTCTAAAAAATTTCAGAGCCTTTGTCATTTAAAAAGGGTCGTCTTTATATAACATGATGACAATAAATCACAATCTGAATCACAATGAAAAGTCACTTGTATTTGTTAATAACTACCTTCTGTGATATTTTTGACAGTGGTAAGTTGCCTTTTGGTGCCATTAGATAAAACAAAAATCTCTGAGAAAAGTTGAAAATATTTACACTTGAAAAGTGACAAATCAATTATCTTGGGGAGATCGACACAAAGTGCAGGTGAACAAATTAAGAGGTTTTTCTACTTTCCTGCTAATGAATTTGTATGTAGAATTATGACCAGTTTTGTTATTTCATTTAAAGAAACGGCGTGGATAAAACAATTCTACTCAGTTTAAAAAAAAAAAAAAGTTGCAATCTGCCGACTAAACTTGAAACAATCTTCCTTGACCCTTGGAGGGGGCGGGAGGGGAGGGGGGTTGGTGAAGTGTTTTTTTCTATTTTAGAAGTTCTCATGGTAATAAACTGGAAAAATACATCGACACTATAGCATCTTTTTATCATTTAAGTTGGATGGTTGAAAGGCGGGTCGTTTGAGACCCGATGAACACTGATTTCCGTGCATGCAGATTGGCTAAATAGCGCCGAAGGTTTCAATTAGATGTACATTATTCACAAGTAATTAAATGGACGGAATTTTTTGTAATTTCTAGAATTTCTCGCGAAATCTCGGACAGATAAGTTTTCGCCCTAGGAGTTCGCGCGATAATTTCTTTTATGGTTAAGGAAAATCTACAAGTGGCGCTTATTTATTCCAAATTCCACTCTAAATCATTTACCTGAACGAATTGTGAACAAAATCCATGCGGACATAACGTGCTGAAAGCAACTCAGCTCAGAATATCTTTTCACGAATACTTTCTCTCAACAATAACGTCAATTTCATCGACAGTATGCTATACTGAACATAGAGTACATTGTTGAGCCGAAACACAGCAAAAAAAGGCATATTTTCTATGTTATGAAAACTAGTAAATCAATACAATAGAAGGCATAATCGGACTGAGGCCAGAATCGAATTTGTTTAATATAAATAGGAGCCTAAAGAAGAGAAACAGGGAGTGCGATGTGATTATTTTCTCTTGAACTGGCAAGTTTTCAAAACGATGCATGTGTATTAATACACAATAATATGAGTGAGTGCTTTTTTTTTTTACTTTTGTAAACTCGTGTTATCTGCAAGGGTTTTTGACATCTTAGGTTTTAAAAAATTGAAAGAAAAACCATCCCTAGATATTCGTATTTGAGTTGCATTTAAGTTATAAATGATCTGCCCATCGCTCATTTTTATTGCACTGTTGGCTTTAATTTCTTGTTTCAGATTGCTGCAGTTTGCATTCATGTAGGATCGAAATTTAAAATACTATTCCAATCCTTACCTTTGTGATCAAATGGTGACCTTCTGACTTTACCATTGTCTTTAAAATATCTTCTGTTCGCTTCTCATAAAGCTCGCATTTGTTTTCATCAAAATGAAAGATTGCTGTTTGACAGTTAATTTGTGTTGCACAGGCCCGAGCACACAGCATTGTATCTTTCGCACTTGAGCTTCGTAGTAAATTACTTCCTGTGTTAAGTGCGCGATTTTCATAAATGGAAAAAAAGAAACCCACGTTCTCCGTGCCAATCTTTCTAAAAAATAGTGTGAAAAATACAGTTCGAATTATGCTCGCCATAGCCGTTGTGCTCAAATGACTGATTGAAGGACAGACATGAAGAGCTTCCCAAATATGATGTCATTTGCTGTCAAGATGTTTTAATTGTTTTTATCCGTAACACATGAGCAGAATTATTTTTTATCAATACTGCAGGTGTAAATGTGACTGGATGACCCATTAAAGGGGAAAACAATACGCTTTATTGAAATGATTCAAGCAGTGTAGTATGCATCGAGGCTATTAGTTTCTACCTAATGAATAATGCTAGATCAGCGCACTGATTGGCTAGCTTAGAAATGATCTTTACCTTGGAACTACCGTTGTGACAAATAAGCTTCCCGTTTGGCTACGTCTAAAAAATGGAGAATCATTTCGATAAACGAGGCGCTATAAATATATATTCAAAATGGGAAGGAAGTCTCGTATTCTAGCGCAAAAAATCAGAGTTTGCCTTCCGCAGACTGTTGGGAATTGCGAAACGTGAAGATAAAACATGCAGTAATCAACAGAATTGTTCAAAGACCAGAAAACAAGAACAAAAAGTAAAACTACAGTCATTGACGAGATAACACCTTGGCAATTAAACAAGAGCGTCTAGCATTTTTATTCATTTTCAGGCCAGTAATAACTCGTACATCATAAATGATAACCGCACGACAGGATTTTCACCAGTTTACTTTCCATTGCTTGACACTACATTCAGTGTCAGAAATATAGTAATTTTTTGGTCTGTAATTTATTTAGTTTGAGTAGTATACACTTGAACAGCTATTCCTCGAGTCAATGATAAAAGTGGTAAATATCAACGTTCTCTTTACTCGACAAATATGTTGTTGACTATGTGCTATTAACATTTTCTTGGTAGCACAAAGCAGAATATATTCAGAAACAATATCAATTTACGCGATTGTGTTTAATAGTTGAGATAGTTTTCGGCCTTCTGATTGGTCTGTCATTATTGTATGTCATATTTTGTTACTCAATCAACTCGCCCAAGATAATGATAATATTGGCCAAGTTTTCATATTTTGAAATCGTGTGACTTCGTCATGTCTAGCTCTCGTTTGTACCTATGTCAAGAATTCAATAGAATGAAGAATAAATGCAAATTCCAAGAAGCAGTGGGGATGAAAGAAATAACCTTAATTATTTTCTGGTTGTTCCTCTAGTCAAATTTTTCAGAATATACTCAATCATTTAATTTCAACTCCGAATATTGCATTTCTAGTGTTCTGATTGGCTCACTCAACTCCGCTTATTACCTCATATTCCGAACTGAACTGTTGCGGAGCTGGAAAAAAGCTCCAAATATTCAAAGGTCCACGTTTTAATGAAATTTAATGAAACAATTATTACATTTGCGCTTCTTGGATACGAGATTGTTAGCTATTTACCACCTCAAAATCAACGCTCATTCATGGAATAACGATCAACTATTTTCTTTTCGCTTTTGATAATTATTTCTTAAATATCAGTGACAAGCTTTGAATTTGAATTATAGTCAGAATGCATCTTTAGGCGTCTGCTTTTATGAACCGAGTAAGAGAATTAATAACTGCAACGCAGCTAAAGGCATCACATCAAATTATGCAATGCTCGCCAGCAGTTATTCCATATAGTAGTACCAACGATAGAGCGCCCAGCCATTTTTTCCTAGCTTCTAGTTGGACCTCAGTTACCGTCATTTCCATTAAAAAAGGAAGATTTGGAAAGGCTGCTGTCAGAAAGTACACACAGAAATCCAATGACTGGCATGTATACTATGGAGTGGCTGAATGAATGTCGCGGGATCAATCCTCACTGAATCGATTTCACCATTAGCATGGTTTGCACTGGTTAAAAGCAGCGTTTTTATTTGAACATATTGGCGATCAACTGTAACAAGAGTAAAAAGAAAAATTGATATTTTACTTACTTTCGGTTGATTGTCATTTTTTGTCTCACTGACTGACACTTTCATAAAGAAACAAGACAGATTAGAAGGTGGCAATATCAAACCTATTTCAGTGAATAGTTGTATTAACGATGAAAGATAATTCAAAAACTCAATCCATTTCAGCTAACTGGTCGAAAAAAAAAGTAACAATGAGGGAAAATAAAGAGAAATCCCTGTCCGTATCATAATTAAAAAACAGATTAAGCTTACAACTGAATTATACCTCATACAAAGTAAATTACTACTGTTGGGTGGCAGTAATGGGGAAAACTAGCTTTACAGCGCACCTAGTTTATCGAAAGGCACTTAAGACTCTCGACCTGTCCTTTTCTGTCTTCTTTAATCTCTATTCTGTAACACAATCCCACTTAAATCAAATTCACGTTACTCTGGTCGACTGACTCTAACTCTGATCGATCATTTTCCGGCTCTTTTATTCTCAATGACTTCTAACCCTAAAGTACACGCTTTTTATTCATTGTAGGAATGTACGCTAGCCGGCTTTGGAAAATGAATCTAAGTTGTCAAAACACTGACTCAAACACAAACACAAATAATAAAAGAAAAAAATTTAATCATTCTTAACTGCTTAAGTCAAGATGAGAAATTTATTGTGGGTCCAAAGCAAGGTCAGTAGACAAACTAAACATGCAGTACCTTAATGGAAGTTAGAAAGGACTTTCGCAATTGGGAAACTCATCGCGATAGCCTAGACCCAATAATTTAAGACTTGTGATTCAATCTTAACCAGGTGCTAAATATATTACAAATGTGTGACTAAATCATACTCAAACTAACCATAAATCTCTCTCAACACCATCAAGCATTTGACTGATGTTCTGTTTGTTGTGAAGAACCATCACCAGCGGTTTCACACTTCATATACGGTTTTCCTTTATCCCTGGTTGACCTTGGGCAACGGTTGGCCATCTTGTTACGCACACTCTTGACCGCAAGAATAATTCTCTCGATCATTTCAACAAGTTAAGATTCAAGCAAATATGTGATAAATTACCATAATCCTCAAACCCAGGTTACCTGCTGTGTTCATCTGATCAGGTAGTGCGGGCTCAGTTAAGCTAATTAGTCTTCCCCTTAGATGTCATTACGAACACCCCTCAGTCTCAGACGGAAAAATTGCGTCACAAATATTTCAATCTCACTAACAGCCAGCCACGCACACTATCGTTCTAGAGGAAGTACAGGGCCTTTTATTACAAAATAACTATTCTTGGCGACACAAGGTAAAGGTTAGTGCCTCATAAAATGTGTTAATAAACTTCAACAGTTTTTCAGGTGTAAAGCAATGACCAAATCAATGCACACAGATTGCCTGATCTGTTCCGAGCCATAAATGCATCAGTAACAGACATCCACGCTCGCTATCGTTCAGGAGGAAGTACTGCGCATTTCGTTACATAATAACTTTTCTTGGCGACACTAGATACAGGTAAGCGTCCTATAAAGAGTCATGATAAACTTCAATAGTTTTGTCGGTGTAAACCAGTTATTTAATCAATGCACAGAGATTGCGGAAGCTGTTCCGGGTTATAAATGTTCGAGTTTCAGGCTATGTTAATATCTGGATCGCGGAAACTGTTCCGAGTTGAAAATGCATGTGTTTCGGGCTGTATCAATGTCTGTTGAATGCTTTCATTCTTCAAAGAGCTTATATCAGACGCCTAACATGCTAAGTTTAGTAAGCAGGCTTAATTATTTATCGATCGCATTCTTTTACATTCGTTACCAAACAACCGTGGGAAAACTGGAGAAGCATTTCTTGTTCTATCCCCAACAATTCAATTTGCAAGTCATGACCTCTCAAGATCTTTAGAACCGACTGATTTTCTATCCGAGAACGTAATTTGATTTGGAGTTAATCTTAATTAAGTCTAATGCCATCGTTGTTGACTTGTTCCGGGCTATTAAGCACTCTTAAGATTTTCTATTAATGTAAACATGCAAATGTTTAAATCTACTTTTCTATGAAATAGAACGTACATTTCAATGCAAAAACAATGTAAACGATAGTTATCTACGAATTTAAGGCTCCAATACTTTCCCCAAACTTACAGTGAAATTTGATGCCTTTAAGCATTAAAACGTTGCAGACATTCCAAGTCAAAATAATGCGCTCTAGAAAAAGGCTTTATTGGCATATGTGTAAAATTTGACAGCGAATGACCAAGTTTGGGAGAAAGTAGGAAGTAAACTGAAAACGCTGTAACAGATATGGATAAGGAGTAAACAAGAAAATCGAGGCAAAACAAGATAATTTGATTGCCAGTAGCTTATATCATTGAGGTTTAGTCAATACCTTCCCAACTGAACGCATTTCTGTGATAAGCAAAATTATTTTAATTACAGCACAGATTTGACTAAGAATAATTTCTAACTGTGTGAAACTCTGGGAAGAATTCGACTTTATCAAGAATATTCACCGACTGAAGCTTTGAAAGTTGAAACAAAGTAGCAATAGAAACAGGTTCTCCTTTGATCCTTATTCCATAAATATAAGAAACTAAATGAAGAGACCGGAGGGGGGCGCTTACCGGGGGCGCTGGTTTGACATTTTAGCTTTTGGGTTGGTGCTTATTCGGGGAAGGGAGGGCGCTTATTTATTTAGTAGAGGCTTGGGCGCTTATTGAGCATATATAGCGTGTCTTGGTTAGATCCGAAATATTAGCGCGGAAATTATTACAATGAACAAGAAGCAATGCTCAACTTTTAGGTAAACTTCTAAAGTCAGAAATGTGCATGTCCCATCGATCATAAGAAATGTTTAAAGAAAGCCAGAATCTAGCCCCGACGGGTTTGGACCCATTTGGACCCACGACTTTCCACGTTACCGAAGTTAGCATGGGAAGCAAATAACATTTGTGAGTGAGAGAAGTTCGGCGAGGTTTTAAAAGTGCCCAACCGTGGGCGCTATGAGAGGCTGCGTGATTT